TTTTTTTTTTTTTTTTTGTTGTTTCTGTTTTCCTTTCCAGGAATAATCCCCAGCGTTGTTCCCCCGCGGTTTCCGCCGTGTCGAAGCGCAGCGCTGGCCGCACTCTCACGGCGAGTGAGGGGGAGCAAAGCCGCGGCTCTCTGCTCCTTGTCAAGGCTCTGGGGAATCTCAAAGACACAATTTCGAGACGTCTGTCCCAGACACGGGCCCTGGGCTGTCTCCCCCTCCCTGGGGAGCCGTGGGCGATGATCCCCGCTGTGATTCCCGCTGGCAGATGTGCACTGTGCAGATGTCCGGAAGCAGGGTGACGCATCCAGGTGTGACGCATCCAGGTGTGACGCATCCAGGTGTGGTGCATCCAGGTGTGGTTCATCCAGGTGTGATGCCCGCCATTCCCTGCGCTGCTCAGCCCAGCAGCACCGACCCAGCAGCAGGGAATGTCCCCGGTCCGTGTGACCGAGCAGCACGGAGATCACACACACAAACAAAGCAGCAAAGGTTGCTGTTACTTATTGAGGTGATGGCGCAGGAACCGGGGCTCGAGCTGCAGAAGAAGCCAAGATGGGTAAGGCAGAGGTCACAGAGTAATGCTGCTGTGCCATGTGACATTCTTTACAAAACACTTCATAAACAAGGCCAGATTTGTTTCCATTCACGCCGGTTTTGTTATTACGTTGCTACTATTTTACAAGCAATTCTTGGAATAACAGAAGCATTCCTGGCCCGTTACAATTTCTGTGCCGTGTGTTTCTGACTTGAGATGTCTTTCTTGTTGTATTCATCGTAATAGCTGTACACAGATTTTTAAAGAACATCGATAAGATGTAAACAGATGAGGAATTTATGCTGATGGAGCTCATTAATAACCCCTGTCAATGCCAGCATCCTGTACCAAAATCTTACCAACTTTGTCAGAACACAAAGTGGCTTGAGCCCTGCTGGAGCTTTATTTTTTTCATTCTTCTTCCAGGCTATTTCTTTATCCTTTGTTTCAGTGTAATACTGCCTGGCGTCTTATTTGGGTCATATCTGCAAAAAATACAGGTATTTTCAATGTCAGTGCCTAAAGAATTCTCACCAAAGGGCAGGAGATTCAGGACCTCAGCTTGGCTCCAGTCAGGAGAAGAATGAAGAAAAATTGCCAAGGAGTAAAGTAAGATGTGCACGTGCTTAAGTATCTGAGAAAACATAGGAAGAGGTACTATTGCTTTGATTTATTTTTGAAGCTTATCTTCAATGTTCTGTTATTTAAGTATTTAATACCCAAAGTTTTAGATTATCATGATTTCCACTGCATCTGTGTAAGAAAAGAAAGGTGATTAACAGTTTTGGCAGCAAGCATTTTGAAGGGGGAAAAAAGGAGAAAAACGTATAGGAAAGACCCAAGAAGAGGGGGTGAAAAGATACAGAAGAAAAGTCCAAATATTTGACTAAAAAGGAAAGAATAAACTTGTAGTGGAGGGAAAGCCAACAATATTTGACAATTTCCTCAAGCAGAGGAGAGAACAGTCAAAATTTACATTACCATAGTGTTTGAGCTGTGGGGATGGAGGGGAGATGGTGATGTTGACACTGTAACAGAGGAAGGGAAACTGAAGAGCATGATTGCAGAAAAATGAAATCCATTGTGGCCAAGCCAAATGCTAAAAGATGGTGAATCAACCAAGATTAAAGGTCCCAAGACTTCTAAAAGATGCGTGATTAAATGGAGGTAAAAAGCACCAGCATGGACAAAGATGACTGAAACTTGTCAAAAGTAAGTGATAAATAAACCCTTGTAGACAGATGAAATCACTTAAGGATGCAGGTTTAGGGATACAAGACTCCAATTCCTGTCCAAGTGCAGGATTCCTTGCCAGTTTCTGATTGATCTTTTTATTTTTAAATTTTTTTTTCGTTCATTCATTCCTTCAGAAATGTGTGGGCAGCTTGTGCTGAATTGCTTCTTTGGGAACGTTTTGCTCATCTTAATCATGGATGATCAAATGAGCAAACTTATAGGATGAATAAAGGTTTTTTTATTTCAATTATAAAAATGATGGCTGAGTAAAGAAACCCATTAAAGCATGTATCTTTATTAAATTCTAAAACATTCTAGTCATCAAGTTTTACAATTACTTTGCACTGGAAATTTTGTAAGCAGAAGTTTGAGTAACAGGAAATGATTGTGTTCCTGTCCTCTCAAGAAAATCAGAAAGCAATTATTTGGCTTTGTATTCTTTGACTACACATGCTTATATATAGCTTTGACTTTTGAAGAAATATGCTGCCAGTTGTGGCTGCTCTCTGAGTACAAATGTTAAGATCTTGATGGTAACTCTGGGGAGAAAAATTAAATTGTTTCCAACTTCCATTAAAAATCTCACGAAATTGTATTTAGCTACAATTTGAAACAGACTCTGGTTTTCATATTCTTCAGAGTTGACATTGTAGATGGAAAACAAGGTAAACCTTTATCAGGTTGAAGTGTTTTTGTAGAGAAAGTCCATTGCTATAGTAATGTCTCTTGTTCAGTGAAATCATGGCATGATTTATAAAATGCACAAAAACTTCTTTAGAGACAGATGTGTAAAGATTTTGGTCCTTGCCTTTGATGGTGGACTGGGGAAAAGAGAGAGACCTTCACAGATGTATATGAACCAGTCTTTCCTGAAAGAAATTAGTTTCCTAAGCCCACTGGCAAGTTTAGAGTCATGTGCAGATGTTATCTGTTACACTCACAAAGCTCTTTTTAACCTAAGTTATCATAGTGAATGACCAACTTCCATGTTACAATTATCTCCTGAGTCAAGCCTGTAATGATACTGGTGCTTTACAAATTATGTAAAACGGGAGAATCACATCTGATGTTTTCCCTTGAGAATTTGGTGATTGACTGCTGAGATAACCCCCACCTTTTCCTTCAGTCACATCCTTTTCCTTCATCACTGTCCTACCCTGCTTAAATATTTCATGTCTATCAAGCAGACTCAGAAGGCTAAGAGGCTGGCTTAACTTCAAAAATAGTTTTGGCATGTTGTATTTTCTGGTTCTTTCAGCGTATACTTAGGTCAATTCTATGCATAAATTTAGAAATTCATCTTTTTAATTGATGGTCTCATATGACTGTGTGTTCCGAGAAACTCTGCTGAAAGTAGATTAGCAAATATTATGTTATAATAGCCTTTGCCTTTACATACTATTTACCAGCACTGCAAGGAGAGAGATCTTTTTTAGCCCCAAATTTCACTGAAGGCAGAGGCTAAATCAGTTCTGTGGGACCCAACAATGTCAGCACAACTGCGTGGCTCTGGGAGGGACTGAGGAAAACTCTGAGTTACCCTGGGGCTTCATCAGAACTGGCAAGACAAAGGATGAAACGATGACACGAGGGCTTCCACCCTTCTAAAGAAACAGCAAACTAACTTGAGGGCTTGAGAAACAGTTTCCCACCCTATTTTCTCTGACATGCTCTGACAATATATAAGATAATATCACAGCACTTGTGCAAGCAATGAAATCAATGTTTTATAACCATGCTGTTGCTTAACAGGATTAGTTTTCTATTCTGAGGTTGTTTTCCAAGTCCCATTTTACCTGCAGAATGCAAAAAAAAATGGAGTGCAAGTAGGTGCTGATTTTGAGGGATTTTCAGAGTGAGATTTCCCTCTGTAGTGCATCCCCTCAGTGCTGCCCTGGCTACACCGTGAGTCTGCCCCTGCCTGTGTTGAGTGTGAGAGCTTGTCCTGGCCAGCCTGCTGGAGGTGTAGCCTGGGACAGAGCTGGAATTGTGGCACTTGTCAGAGGGAGGGAATGTGTTTCCAGGTGGCAGGAGAGGGCTGGAGCCTGGGTGAGCCTGCTGGGAGGCTGAGCTGTGCTAAGGCAGGGCAGGGGATGACAAAGCCATAACAAACATCCCTGTGGTCTGCCCCTGCTGCCTGGCCAAGCAAACCTCAGGGCAGGACAGTGTGGCCCAGGCTGGTTTAAAGGGCTGCTCCAAACTGGATTTTGAATATATCCGGGGAAATTGCCACAAAACCTACAGAATCTTTTGGGGGTTTTGTGCAGTAAGAAGATTTCAAGGAGATTAAACCAATGCAACACTGATTTTCTGTTTAAAATGTCTTTCATAAATCAGTCTTGGAGCTTTTCTAAGGCATTTTGGAGGATAATTTGCTTCCAGAGTGATTCATAGATTTTTCACTAATTAGCTCAACAGCAGTTCCACTTTCTCAAAAGCAAGCACTGAGGCAGCCTAAATCCAGATTTAATGTCCATTAAAAAGGAAATGCTTTAGTGTTGGGATTTATATCAGTGTTCTGGTGCTCAGGAAAGTACTGCATTTTTAGAAAAAGGAAGATTTTCTTTTTGGGCCAAATTCAAACCAAACCACAGATAGATTGGTGCAATATTATTTATGTGGATAAGCTTGATGTGAGTATAGACTAAATCTGAATATGTTTTTTCAGAGACTATGAGAGCAGAATTGAGGAAATAATTTGACCAATTAGGGATGTAAGTTTTGCAAAACCAACTGCCTACAAAAGTTATAGCGCTGGTTTCAGAGTTTAAGGCATCCTCCAGCTATTTAAATTATGGTGTCAGAAACTGGAGGAGAAAGATATG